CCACGTTGACTTCCCGGATCCAGTGTGATTGCTTTGACCTTGCCTTTGGTGTTCCTCCAGTGATGGCCCTTGGATCTGGCCTCAGGACACTTGGCAAGCTGGATTGTGAGGTCTAATGATGAACCTTGGTTCTTGGTACGCATCTGAATCTGAAAGGAAAAATAATAAGCAAACAAAGGGGGATCTGGGATTCGAACCCAGGTCCTAACGCACTATCCAACCACTCCACTGCCACTGCGCCACACGCTTTTGTTTGTACATAAAACACATAAAAAATATAATATATGAAAAGTGAAAATACTGAGTCAGAAACGCGCGAAATTCAAATACTCCTATGGGAGGTTGCCACGTTGGTTGTCTTCTTCCTTTCTCCGTGGGTAAAAGTCCCATACTTTTACCTACGGACATTTGTCCGTAGCTACAACTCCTGCAAATTCCAAAACTCAACACAAGCGTGATAAATGAAAACGAAAGCCATGGACAGCTTCTTCTTGACCTGCTGAGTTCATTGGTGGCCCTTTCATGGCCCAATTTTTCCTGTAAACAAAACTCCTAAATCGAAGCTGTAAACCCTAGTAATGGTGAAATCCAGTATAGTCCATATAAATGCAATTAAACAATATAGAAAGCTTGCAAATGTTCCAAGGAGTAAGAACCTATAACTAGTTCATGCTATAAGTACAGGAATGGTGCAATTCGAATTTAAGAAAATTGCAATACCGTGACTGACTTACAGTGCGTTAGAGGGTCTGGGAATGCTTGGTTTCGATTGCTGTCGCTTGCTGGGAATCTCAGGAAGCTATTGAGATAGCTAGGATGCCTTGAGGATGCCTGGAACAATGAATTCGATCCAGCACTTTAGTTGTGATTTTTCAAATTTGGTTCTCCTTGTTGCGCCTCTTTTTCAACCTAGTTTTTGGTCTGCATCCACTCTATATGTATCAAGGAATGGATTAGGGTTGATAGAATATACTCAATCTTCTTCCATTATTGAATTTGATTGTGATTTGATTCTCTTGAATATCATTCCAAAATTGGCCTAAAATCAATCTTTTTGTGCACACATGCCTGCACACGAATTTGAATACTTGCTAGTTGTAATTTAAGACCTGAAACAAGCACAAAATCTTGTGTTTTCAATATTTTGGATTTTATATGATTTGTTTTAATTTAAATTAATTTAATTCAAATAAAAATCAAAACAAATAATAAAAATAAGATATTGACAAGTGGAAAAGGCTAGAGCTCGTGGACTATGTTTACAACTCAAAACAAGTGAAAAAGATTGGGCCCACTTGGCAAAATTTGAAGTTTTAGGCATAGTTGACTTTTGGCAATTTTGCAAAAAGGGTCAACTTCACCAATGCATAACTTCTTCAATTTTGACTCTTTGGAGGTGTTCTATGACTTTTTAGAAAGCTTGATATGTAATATAAGCAACCCTTTTGGTATCATCTCAATTTTATATTCCATGCTAAAGTCTGAAGCTTTGACAAAAAAGGTGTTTTTGTTGACTTTTCAAAATGACCTATAATGTCCAAATTCATAACTTCTTGTGAGTGCATATTTTGAACTTGGGAGATGAAGATGTATTGTAGATAATGGCATCCTATTCAAAATGAGATTTGGATGGTTCATTTCTCATAAAGTATGAGAAAGTTATGCTTGGTCAAAGTTGAGTTGACTTTTCCTACAAAACCCTAATTTAGCAACTTTTGGTTCTTGAGGAATTATGAGCAACCCTTGATGAATCATGATCAACCCTTGATCAAATGATGAAATATACTTCAAAATGAGGATGTTGACCAAAAATCTTGAAGTTTGACTGTATGTGGGCCACAATTGACTTTTGCCCTAGCACAGTCGATTTTCAGGCCTTTGAGCAATTGTCTGAGCAAACTTTCTCTGTAGGGCTTGAAACTTGACATGGATGATCTTGAGAACATATTAGGTCAATGGTGAGCATTTGGGATCCCTTGGTCTCAACTATCTTGATGCAACATGAAACCCTGATTTGAGGTAGACTGCCTTAGGAGAGAGCTTGTCTGGTCAACCCTTGGGCTTCCTTGAGCAACTTGAGGATCTTTCTTGAAATGTTTTGAGAAATATGGGAGGGAAATTTTTTGGGTACAACAGCTGCCACTGTTCAATCTTCTTAAACCTGAGGATGTAGATTGGCTTTTGTGCCTTTCGTGATCCGAAGGTGGAAGAGGATTAAACACTAGAGTGCCCAGAAATTTGCACTCGCATGAAGTGGTGTCCGTCTTGTGATGTCAGGAATGGGATTATAGATGCCACTTGGAAATTTCTTGACGGGGGATGGGCTTAAAGATGCCACCCGAAGGAGTGTCGATCGCATAAGAGATTCCTTAGCGAGAGCTTGTATACATGTTGTTGAAGAAGATTCCGCTGGGGAAGGCTGATCTTTGTTGAGAAAAGTAGAAATTTAAGAGCTTTGGTCGTTCGTTATTCTGCTGGTGAGTCGTCTCTGTTTGAATTTTAGGAACTTTGGTCGTCCGTATTCTACTGAGGAATCATCTCTGTTGAATTTTAGGAACTCCGGTCGTCTGTATTCTACTGAGGGAACATCTATGTTCTGAAGAGGTGAAAATGAACTACTATTTGTTCGTGATCCAGGCTTCGTAGTAATAAGACCGACTGCTACCTGGTCATAATCCAGGCTTTACAGTGACTTACTGGGGAGATGAGATTAAACTTGCTATTCGGTTGTAATCCAGTCTTTGCAATTTCTCAATTCTTATCTGGTCGTAATCCAGGTTTCAGAAGGAACTCAAATGTTATCCGGTCACATCCGTGCTCTAACTTGAATTTAGGGCACACTAATATCCGGTCGACTCCGGGCTTCTTTGAAACTGTCCAGGTAAACTGCTATTCGGTCGAAATCCAAACTTCACAGGATCTTGTACTGCTATCTGGTCGTAATCCAGGCTTCAGTCCTTTTATCGTTATCCGGTCGTAATCCTAGCTACACGATGCTTTATACCATTATCTGGTCGAATCCAGGCTTCATGGTGTTCTGTACTGCTGTCTGGTCGTAATCCAGGCTTCACAATACTTTACTTCTTATCTGGTCGTAATCCAGTCTTCACAATACTTTACTTCTTGTCTGGTCGTAATCCAGTCTTTAGAAGAGATCAAATGGCTATCTGATCGTAATCTGGGCTTCCTTTTGGCTTTGGGCCTACTAATATCTGGTCGTAATCCGAGCTTCGTAGTATCTGGCTGGGTGAACTGCTATTTGGTCATAATCCTAGCTGCACAATATCTCTTACTGTTATCTGGTCGAAATCCAGTCTTCACAATACTTTACTTCTTGTCTGGTCGTAATCCAGTCTTCAGAAGAGATCAAATGGCTATCCGGTCGTAATCCGGGCTTCCCTTTGGCTTTGGGCCTACTAACATCTGGTCGTAATCCGAGCTTCATAGTATCTGGTCGGGTGAACTGCTATTTGGTCGTAATCCAAGCTGCACAGTATCCCTTATCTGTTATCTGGTAGAAATCCAGTCTTCACAATACTTTACTTCTTGTCTGGTCGTAATCCAGTCTTCAGAAGAGATCAAATGGCTATCCGGTTGTAATCCGGGCTTCCCTTTGGCTTTGGGCCTACTAACATTCGGTCGTAATCCGAGCTTCATAGTATCTGGCCGGGTGAACTACTATTTGGTCGTAATCCAAGCTACACAGTATCCCTTATCTGGTTGTAATCCAGGCTTCACAGTGTCTTTTACCGCTATCTGGTCGTAATCCAGGCTTTGCAACGTCTCATAACATTATTCGGTCGAAATCCAGGCTTCATGGCTTGCTTTTAAGAGATACCACTATCTGGTCGTAATCCAGGCTTTGCGGTAGTCTGATACTATTATCCGGTCGTAATCCGAGCTTCACTATATGCTGTAGGAATCAAGATACTATCCGGTCATACCCGGGTTTCATAGTTTGAACTTTTGTGAGAATCAAGATACTATCTTGAAAATTACCCAACTTGTGCAAGTCATAACTTGCTCAATTTTTATATTAAATTTTTATATATATATTAAATTTTTTTTTTGAAAATAACAACTAATACTTGTCTTAATTGGGCTTTAATTTCTTGAGCAACTTCTTCTTAAGCCTACTCTTGATCTACTTGTGGAGTTATCCTTTATTAAAAAAATGAAATAAGATAAAAATTAAAAATTATTGAGAAATAAAATTGAATACATACCTTTGAATATATGAGAATTAAAAGAGTTTAGATGGTTTAAAATTTTGAAATGAACAAGAGATATGGTGAAAGATTGAAGGAAAGAAGAAAAATGAAGAAGAGAAAATTGAGTTTTGTTACTTTGGTGTATTGAAATGAGAAGGCGCTGGAGATCTGGTTTAATAAGGGATTTTACTCTTTATAAACTCTAATCAAAATTTATTCTTAACATTATCAAGTTTTATGTATGGATACAGACGAGTGACCTTAAATTAATAAGCTTTGATATAATTAGTGTCAAATTTTATAATCCAAAAGAAAAAACAACAAATATTTATATTTAGTGATTAAATATTAATTAAACTATATTAATATAACGAGAGTTTTAAAATTAATATAAAATTAATAAATATTAATTGAATTAACTTCTTAGAATTTTCAAACAATACTATATTATCAATTAAATCAATATTTTCATAACTTTAAAATTTGAGCTTTTATGCAAAAACACATTATATATTTTATATTTGAAAGATAAAAATTATAATCATCATAATTGTTTTTAGTAGTTTTAATTTTATATATTCATAAATTAGGGATTCTATGCAAAATGGGAAATGTACGTAAGTGGTAATAATCAAGCATAGAAAATGAAAAACACAGTTGAAACGAAACCTCCGAGATTAAGTGGTGATAGTAAAAACATAGAGACAATAATTTTACATAACAATCATCACATAGATGTTATTGGAAAGAAAAATTACACAATAGATATGAAAACCACACATGCATTTTTTAAATAGAGACACTGTTGGGAATTCCTCTAAAAGTTAAACCTTCTTCACTTGAACGAAGCAACAAACCATAGGGCAATTGCACTGGGCCATAGCGGTTTCTCAAACCAGGCTCATTGTTCCTGCTATGTATTTTCCCTTCAATTTCAGTTAGTTTGGTTCCAAACTTTGTGAAGGCTTGTACTGCCCTTGAATCAGATGTCCAATACTTGTTATCCCTCTCTCCAAGGTACACCTCATCAGAAGCATGTCTTGACAAAATCTCAATCACAGAAAGATCAACAAGGGTTTGGTATTTCGGAGTAATTGTTCTCAAATATGCCTTTTGAGGACTTTTCACCATCTCGTCGTATTCTGGGGTTCCTTTCTCTGGTATAAATCTTCTACTAAGTGTTGGACGGTTTAGGATATATCCTCCATAAGGATATTGTCCGAAGTTAACAGCTGCATGAAGAGCAGAAGCAGTCCATACTATAATGGAGCAAGATTGAACCAAGTCTTGAATAGTTTGCATCTTAGGCCACCATGGCTTGTCTTTCAAGTCACCATGACCCTTTTCTACAGCTTCTTTCCACCAAGCTTGCAACTCGGTGTCTTTTTCAACACTATCATTTGTTGGATAATATAAGGAGACATAGTCTTGGACCCATTCTCTAATAGCATCCCAAATTTCTAATCCATCAACAGCATAAGGATAGTCCTCTATCACCAGACGAAGGCCGTGTGGAGAAGAAGAATCCTCAACAGCTAATCCTCTGAATCAATAAAATAGTAAGTTATCAATAACAATTAAGAACTTTCTCCATGTTTTTTCAATTGTAATGTACATTAATATTAATATATACCTCTTGATAAGATCGGCCGGTAATGCTTGATCAGTGAAAACCCAATTCTTGTAAACCGTTGAAGAAATCTCAATGGAATTTGGTCCTGGCAAAAATGATTGTTCTATGATCCCACCAGCATTGATTAGAGATTGTCGAGCAAGTCCATTGATATTTATTGTATCGCGGTAATGGGGATATAGAAGTTTATTAATTGGGTGAAGCACACTTAGATGTCTATTTGTTGCTATGATGAATGGTTCCATAACTGCGTGAGTATTCAACCTGTAACACAATAACAAATCTTATTAATAATTATGTCACACATATGTTGAGACGCGTATAGCAACCCTAATAGCCCTAAAAAGAATGTCGATTGTAATGGAGAATACATACCAATGACTCATAAGTTGATGATAGCTTGAGTCATTTACAACTACATGAGCTTTGGCTAATAGCCAAATTGTACTTTCAACACCTTCTTCTGCAGGCAAGAATACTTTGCTTTCAGCACCATATTGGATCCCATTTGAGTGTGGCAAACTTAATTCAATGGCTAATGGCTTTAAAGTCCCATCATCTTTCAAGAACAAGATTGTTCTAGTAGCATAAGCCTTTGCAATAATGTTTATTCTCTCCAAATATGGCATGAATGCATCATGGTAATCTAGGAGGAATAATCTCTTTCCATTAAGTGCCTGTTTCAAAATGTAATTTCAATCACATGATTATGTTTCCATAGATTTGATTGATTTATAACCAAGTAATTTTAACTAAAACATATTTATATCATTACCTCTTCTACGGTGAGTCCACCAAGGTTGGTTTCTAAGTGTTCTTTTGTTATTGTACTAGATTGATCACCATAGATGGTGGCATCGAGTGTGCTTTTTGGCGGGAACTCCTATCACACCATTGAATAATTATATTCAAATAAATATATGAATATTTGGCTTCTCACAAAAAAAGAATACTTACTTGAAGAAGACGAATCACACAAGGGTTTACACCAGCAATCATCTCTCTTCCAAATTCTTCATCAGTCATCCATGCAGATTTACTAACTATTCAAAATAATAAAGAAGAAAATAATTTTCAATTAGAATTAAATAAAAAAATATACGAGTTTTGTCAAAAAAAATAAATAAATTGTGATATAGTATCTGAGTTATATTAAAATCCACCTTTGATTACATGAGGTGGTGGAAACTTGAGAACTTGTTCACCATCAGTGCGGAAGATTTCCTTAAGGGCGGGTAAAGGGCTAATTTTGCTAATTATGTCGGTCGGAAGCTTAATTCCACCTTCATGAAGTCCACGCACTTCATCAAAGCTATCAAACTCATTTGGTGTGAAATTAAGGTCAAAAATTACAGATTGAAACAAAGGCAAGACATCATGAGATAATGATTTTATTCCAAACATAAGAAAGTCTGATGATTTCAAGTGGCCAAAATTTTCATCTCTTGGAACATAAATTGCACCCGGTTTCTCACTCTTAGGATCTGTTAAGAATCAAATACCATTAAAAAAAAATTAGAACACCAAAACCATCAATATGTCAAACACATTATGTTAGACAACATTTATCATGTAAAAATGTACGCTTTATTAATCGATGATAGGAAACAAAAGACAGATATGTGAATAAAATCTAACAATTATATTTCAATGTTTGAAATCAAAATTATAAAATATAAAACAAACCTTTTCTAGTCGGTTTTCTTCCACTTCTAACTCTCCGAGGGTATGGATAAGTGCTAGACCCCCCAAGAACTGGACGGGCAAGTTTGTCACCACCATCTGGATTTCCAAGATCATTATAAACATCATAATCATATATCCTATCATATTCCTTGCGTTCTCCTGATCCATCTCCTCTTAGATTTTGCAACTCTTCTTCTCTAAATTGTTTTAATGGAGTCGGTGTTTGACTTGGAAGATACGTCTGTAACAATAATTTTAATATATTTTTAAAAATTTTATTATCTGTTTATCTGCTATTTTTATATAATCTTGATTATATTTTCATATTTAACTCTTAATTTAGAACTGAAATCTTACATCATTGGTGAAGAAGATCCTGTCCTTATTGTAGCTTTTGAAATTGTAAATCCATGAGTTACAAACAAACTGAACAGATCCACGATTAGGAATATCTTCAAGAGTCACACTGACAAGGAAGAACTCAGCAGATGTGTAGTTTCTTATGTAAAATGCTCCAGGGATTCCAAAATTTGCATCATATTCAAAAAATATACTGAATGCATCTTGTCTTGCTCCCAACGTTGGTAACTGAGGAAGATGTTTGCTCAAAAACGTTTCCTTTCCAACTAATCCCTTTCCACTTGCTACAAATTAAAAAATATATCACAAACAGAAAATTCCAAAAAAAAACTTAATAATAATAATATACATGAGCAAGCCTTGATCTAATAAGAAACAATAAGAAATGGACACTTGTATGTAGATAATATGTAACTTATATTACTATCGTCAAATTCAAGACAAAAGAAACAATAAAGGACATTAAACCAGCAACTTGTTTCTATTCAATTAATGAAAAATATTCACATGGCACCAATTACATAATCAATCGTGTCAGCATATATATATATATATATATATATATATATATATATATATATATATATATATATGATGATGATAATGATGATGATGAATAAGTTGAATAATTTAAGTGAACAAACCATCAGTTTTGGTAGCACTGATCAGCTGCATAGAGACGTTACGGCCTAAGAAGGCGGTGGCGGTGTCAATAGCTCCATCAACAATGCTGGTGAGACCACTGACTAAATTTCCGGCAGCGTCTAAGATATTGCCTGTACCGATAGACGTTATGGCGTTGAAGTCCAAAACATTTTTGGGCATCAACACCACAGTTCCCTTGATTTTTTGGCCCTTGTCAAATATGCCAAACACCTTTGTTGCCATATTTAATACTGGATATTTGATGTAGTTATAGAGAAAGAAGCTTGGTTTGGTTTATGAGAAAGGTAATGTATTTATAGATGAAGATACAAGTATAAACACGATGCCTTATTTTTTTTAATCAGAAGCCGAGCTTCGCATGGCAAACGTGGAATATTAATTAAACATGAATTATAATAGTGATGAGATGGACATGTATTTTTATAATGATATAAGTTTATCATTGTAGATTAATATGCTCCCTCCATCTCACTTTCTCTTTTCTATTTTCATTTGTCTTAAATTATTTATCCATTTAAAATATAATGTATTATTTATTATTTTTTTCCACTAACTTATTTTTATTTATCATATTTTAAATCATATAACTACTCTACTATCTATTATTAATAAATCTATTTTAATAAATAAAATTTATTTTATTATTGAAATCAACACAATTAATTATTATCTTAAAAAGTGTGAAAATCTCAAATAGAATACCTATTGTGAGATAGAGAGAGAAATAAATTTTTTTTTTGCAAGAACCAGGTATTAAAATTTTTTCCCGCAAATAACCATGTTTCAGATGACTCCCCAAAGGAGGAGCCATCTCACTTGGCGCCTCCACCTAGGGTTTTGCCCTAGGCGCCATCTCACTTGGCGCCTCCTCTCTCTTTTAGCCAAGTGAGATGGCGCATGCACTTTAAAAGTGAGAGGAGGCGCCATGTCACTTGGCTCCTAGGGCAAAATTAGGGCAAAATGCTGTTTTATAAATAATTCGTCCGTTTCTCCGTCATTTCTCACACTTTCTCGCACTGTTTTTTATTTTTTACTCTGTTATTTGCGTCATGACATCGCCCATGATTTTTACCAGAGATGGTTACATTATCTTCTCTGCCACGAAACCTGCGATGAAAATGAAATTCTGGCACATTCACTCCACGGAGCGTCTGAAGCGGGAGTTGATGCGGTGGCTAGATGGAGACATTGCGGAGGAGGAAAAAATTCGAAGGATCCGGCGAAGACGAACAACAACCTCACATGCGACAGGAAGACCTAATGTATGGTTGGAGGAAGTCAAAACAGACAGCGACGTAATGTTGATGATGCATGGGTCAGATGAAATTGTTTTAACAGTTGTAATTTCGTAGACGGAATATCGTGTTTTTTTCTTGTACGCGCAATATTTATTGTAGCAAATACTGTTAACGAAAAACCCAAATGTTTACAACATAATTAGGGAAAGATTTTATGTATTACAATTTTTGTGTGGTCGAGGCTGACGCCCGATTCGGACAATTTTTGCGATTGTGTCCGACCTGACGGCATAAACCACACTTTCTTTCCAGCTTGTCAAGTTCATCCATTTCGGTTGTGATGCGCTTACTTTTGGGACAACCCTTCTTGTTCCTTCGCATTTGGTCATTGTGCCACACTATTTCGCCGTCGTATGCAGGCCAATAATCTGGTTTTACTACCAAAGGTAAGCTGTTGTTGTAAACGTTGAGCAACATTTCAGATTTGTAAATGTGTGACAGAAGTTGTAGCGCGTCTTGATGGGTATAAGCACAAGCGGCAATGACATGAGAGCAAGGCATACGAAAGGCTTGAAACTTGCCACAATCGCACCAACGAGAAGGTAGTATTACCCTATATTCCTGTCTTGGCAGGCCTTCGTTGTGGTCGATTATCTCTTTCACAATGAAGTTGTGGTTGTGTCGGTCAAACCGTATAACCATATGAGTGTTGGCTTTGGCACTTTCTGCCTTAATGTATTTCATGCAGCTTTCACTCCATAGTTGTCCAGATTGCAACACCACATTCCATATTTCACCTCTTTTGGCAAACAACGCAGCCATCCTAAAATACGTAGATTTTACCAAAGCAGTGATTGGGAGGTTTCGTATGCCTTTGAATACCCCATTCATCGATTCAATAAGATTCGTTGTCATGTTCCCCCATCTTTGGCCATTGTCGTATGACTGTTTCCAGTGATTTCTGGTAAACAACCGCTAGTCTTCCAAACTATCGAATAATCTTTCTGACTGTTATTCAATTCCTCTGGTAACTCACAAGATCGACTAGATTGATCCTAGGATTCCTTGGTCATTAGGGTAACTCTCATGATCGAACAGATATTCATGGTTGATATTTGAGTGTTGTATAGGTGTTTGGCTTATTTCGATTTCTCTCTTAAGGGTATAAAGATGTAATCAAAATGTGCGTGTACGAAACTAAGTTGCATGAATAAATGTTAATTGTAAAGACATGTAAAATTGCATAAAAGGCAAGTAAATGGTTTCGAATTATAAAAACAGTTAATGTAAAGGATGTTCTGGAACGTAAAAGGTTTGAAATATGAAGAAAGCGTTTAATGCAAGAAATCTGTAAATGACTTTAAGTAAAAATAGGCGTTCGAAGGATAAAGCTTGAAGGTAAAGGCATGGAAAGTATGACAGTTTTCTGAAATGTAAAGTGCTTGAAATGTGAAGAAAACATTGAAATGTAAAACTTTAATGAAGAGATTTCGAAGTGAAAAGACTGTAAATGAGAAAACTTATAAATGTTATTTGACAGAAAGATAAAGGAAAGTGCTGGAAATGGTAAAAGGTTTTCATTAAATCATAAATATATGGTGCTATCATACGTACATTGCTCTTGCATTCGTTTCCCTTGCCATGTGGTAGTTTGAATGTTACTGAGTATTTAGTACAATAGATATGACACACGAAATCCTAATACTAAGACTTCTATTTATACTAATTCGACCATAACGGTCTTGCTATAGGATTATGCCACGTTCAGAACATGCAGAACAATGCCTCTTTCTTCTTTCCACGTGTCTCCAAATGCTCCAGCACATAAATTTCAAACTTCGAATGTCCCGCTTCCATTTGAATTTCAAATGCTTTGGTACTTCTCCGTTTCGAACGCACTTCCCAGACACAGCCTTGTTGTTATTTCGAGACTTCTTTAGATATGTTCCCATAATTGCCACTCGAAGCTCCAGCTTTGACATGCTTATTCGAAACACTGCTTCTGCTACTTCGAAACATGATGCTTTGCTTCATTTCGATCGAAACGTTTAGTTCATTTGGCTTCTAATAATATTATCAAAATCTTCAGCCAACAAATTGCCCCTTTAAAATATGTATTTCGATTTCTCTGAGAAATACCTATTTTAAACATCTACACAAGATTTTGATGTGACCTTCGAATCATCGTAACATTTAATGCATTTGACTCCAGTCACGTCAATCATAGCGCTTTTTGGATTCCTTAACCGCCTGGAGCCACTTCACAGTATGGTGCAGTTACAAACAATGATTATCTTTAAATCACGCCTATTACCCATGTTAACTTTACGCCACCTCTTCATCACACCAACCCATGATTTCCACGTATCACACCCTTATTCAGTGGATGCTTAAACTTCCCCATTATAAAACATCACCAACTTAATCTTTTTCTTTTCTTTTCACACTCTGAATCTTTTACCCTCCTTCTCTCGTCAAAAAACCCAAGCTTTCAACATCCTTCAAAAATGTCTTCTTCTACTTCATCCCAACTCAAGAAAGTCTCCAAGAAGAAAGGAAAAACTGCAGGAACTACCATGGAAAGTAAGATTATCACTCACCAAGGTCAATTCGTTCTTGCCCCTCAGATGATTTCAAAGGAAAAAGAAATGCTGTATGCGTTACAGGTACTCATTCCTACCACCGTTGCTGGTAAGAGGTTAGCTTTAAATGGCCCTCTTACGGTTTTTGAAATATTAAAAGACACCAGGACGATTTTCCCAGTTTGTTATAGTTTTAAACCCTTGTTTAACAAAATGGACGCCCCTAAGGCAATAGAATCTTCTAGTTCAAATACCATAGAAAACCCAACTGTTCCTCCTAAGGACCCCTTTGTATTGGATTATGTAAAAAGTAATTTTAAGCCATTTCGATCTTGCCCCACCTCTGATACTGCTTATCAAAATTGGTTCAAGAAAGTAGAAGCTAAGAAATCCCAGCAATGGGAAGAATTAGGTATCTATAACCTGATTAAGCTATCGAAGCCTGGTTTCACCTACAGCCACCCTCTGCTATTCGCGTCCCTCTATTTCTGGGACAGTACCTATAACACTTTCCATCTCCCAGGTGGAATGATCACCCCAACCTTCTTCGACATAGCGGCCATCACTGGGCTATCGCCAGTAGGAGAAACTTATATCCCCGACAACGAAGAACATTCAAGCATAATTGACTTCGAAGTCAAGCTAGAAAGTTTTTCCAAGTTTATCAGTCATTACCATGCTGAGGGGGACAATGTGTCTGACGTAGAACACATTGCTTTCTTAACCCTATGGCTGTCAAGATACGTTTTCTGCAGTAGATCCCTATAGGTAGCTAGTAGGTTCATTCCTCTAGCTAGGGACTTGCATGAAAATCGAAAAGTGTGCTTAAGTGAACTGCTCTTAGTTGACCTTTATGAAAGCCTGAGGTCAGCTGTTTCGAGCCTCAAATCCCATACCTCCAAGAATATTCTGTTGGCTGGCCCTTTTTGGTTACTTCAACTATGGCTAAATGCCATGTTCGAACCCTCCTTGTCAACCGCCAACACCATTGATGAACAAGATCCTGAGATAAATGATAGGATAGTCGAAGGCACTAGGCTTCGAAGATTAACTCCAAATGACGACAAAGATGACTTCAAAGTCCAATTCTCGAAGTACATCATGATATTCTCCAAAAGGCACAAGTTTGAAGAGAGCATGGCGCCTTTTGCTTCGAGGGCTCATGGACCTTCTTGGTTCACCATGGCTCTCTCAGAAGCTATCAAGAGCAAGGAGATTCAGGATGTATGGAGAGCTTTTTTGCTACCTAGACTCATTTCTTCAAGAATAACTCCAGCCAAGAACCAGATTTTTCTTTTTGCTTACCAACCAAATTTTGTTTCGAGACAGTTTGGCTTATGCCAACTGATTCCTGAACCTTTATTTCAAACTGAGAGTGCCATCACTTCTGGACGAACTTTCA